TGAGCTGGCAGAAATAAAATTGTTGGCGCTGATCGCACGTAACCTTAGCCAGAAGAAATACAATCGTTTATTTCGGAATGACATCTTGACCTTATAAATTTTTAATCGTCTTCTGATCAAAATGAATTTCACTTCTTATTGTCAACTTAGTTTCTGAGAACTGTTTCACTTGAAGTAGGATTTTTTTAATTATTATTGAAAACACATTCTTTTTCTTCTGTTATCGAAGAATTTCAGTAATTCAATTGTAATTCAATCCATAAATAAAATTTTTTGAAATTGTAACGTGCAGTACAGTTGCTCATGAATGTGACTTAACAGTCATTATGTATTAAAAAAAATTTTATTATTTATGTATTAAAAAATTTCATTACTACTGTTAGGAAAATATTAATATACAATAAAAATTGTTTATCACGATTATATCGATCAAGTCCTAGACAAAAGCTAAAAAGATATTTGTTACAAGTGTATTTTGATAATGATCCATCATATGAATATTCCTCGAAATTCAATGGGGCCATTTTTTATTATACAACTCTTATTATATAATTCAGATGACCATTCGTGCTGTACACTAATTTATGTTTGCAACTTCTTGTAATTTTTCAATTGATTCCAAATCTTATAATCGTAATATAATTGCTATAATAATTGTATTAACAATAGCTTATCATTACAGTACATAAGAATTCTGTTATGGTAAATGTTCGAACATGTGATACACTGATATTTCTTTTATGTAAACTATTTATCTATCTTTCGATTATCTTAACATTCAAATGTTATATTATCGAAATAGAACACTTTTTAGTAACAGATATTCTATTCTATTATAGTGTTCGAATATTAAAGATGTTGGGAAACGTTTAACCATATACAAGACATTATGAAATGAGAAGTTTGAGTTTAGTACTTTCATTTATTTACGGGTTTCAAAGTTCGAAGATTTAACATCATATCACGTATGTACGTATCTTTTTCATTTTTTCTAACAGAAGAAACATGTTACTTGGAGGAAAACGACACCTGCGAGATATTGGCTGCTTAGTACCGTCAGTACAAAATTATTTTCTGCTTCTTCGTAATTAAAAAAGATACCTTGAATGTGGCCTGGTTAATATATAATATATATAATAACGTAATAATATAATATAAAATATATATAATAACATAATAACATAATATAAAATATATAATATATAATAATATATAATAATAATATAAAATGTATAATATATAATAATAATATAAAATATAATAAAATATATAATAAAATATATAACAATATAAAATATAATAAAATATATAATAATAATAATATAATATATATATAATAACTAATATTACCTAAAATAAGAGGAATATTTCAAAATTAAATGCTCCGACTGAAAAGGGAATTGAAAGGGTTGAAGCACAGTGTATCGCTACACGGTTAGCACACTTACTCTCCTCTCGTATGAAACGCTCCCTGGCAATGGCCGCGAAAGGGGGTAGGCGGAGGAGGGTAAACCAGGCTCCTTTAGAATTCGCGCGCGAGCAGCGAGCCAGAGGCAGAGAAAAATATCCAAGATGAAATCGGCGAGGGTCAAAATGCATGACAAATAACGCGGCTTGTCCACCGCGGAATGAAACAAAACCCCGGCGAAGAGCAGGACGCCGCTTTGTTCCCATTGTGGGCCCGGTGTCACTTCAAGGTAACGTTGCATTCGGTTCCCCGGTCGCGGTGTCGGGTCGCCATCAGATGACGCTTGATAAAGGAACGACAAATTGGTACCACCCGAACGACTGCTGCTCTTCTCGAAAGATCCGACCGCGATAACGTTCGTGTCGATAAACACGCTACACGGCCACGTCTCCCGCGATTTCATGCGCCGCCGTGCACAGGCGATTTTCGTGCCTGTTTCCGGTACGTTTGAAAAATCGTCGGTTTTTGTGCGACCGGGGCGAAAAAACAGCTATACGAGCCACGTTTCGGGAATCGCGGGACGTCCCTTCCACGTGAAGCTTCGGGGATAAACGCTGTTTTCTTGGGTTATGATTGTAGCTTATAATATATAGCTATAATGTATAGCTGTTAAATATATATATATACAGTTTTACTATATAGCTATAAATAAATATACAGTTATTAAAAATAAGCTATATATAGCTTGTAATTTAATTATAAAATAAGCTGTATAATTTAAAATAATATAATAATTTATAATAATATATAATTTAAAATAATAAAATAATTGTATAAATAATTATGAAATAAGTTGTATAATTTAATTAAAAATAAGTTGTATATAGCTTACAATTTAATTATAAAATAAGCTGTATAATGTAAAATAATAAAATAATTGTATAAATAATTATAAAATAAGTCATTATATAATTTAATTAAAAATAAGCTGTATACAGCTTATAATTTAATTATAAAATAAGCTGTATAAATGTAAAATAATAAAACAATTGTATAAATAATTATAAAATGAGTTGTATAATTTAATTAAAAATAAGCTGTATACAGCTTATATTTTATATTTAATTTACAATTTAATTAAAAATAAGCTGTATAATTTAAAATAATAAAATAATTATAAAATAAGCTGTATAATTTAAAATAATTGTATAAATAATTATAACATAAGTTGTATAATTTAATTATAAAATAAGCTATATAATTTAAAATAATAAAATAATAATAAAATAAGTTGTATAATTTAATGAAAAATATAGCTGTATACAGCTTATATTTTATATTTAATTTACAATTTAATTGTAAAAAAAGCTGCATAATTTAATAAAATAATTATATAAATAATTATAAAATAAGCTGTACAATTTAAACCAATAAAATAATTGTGTAAATAATTATAAAATAAGCTGTACAATTTAATTAAAAACTGAAACTATGTATCGTTACTGCAACCTAATGGGAATTACTCCTGGGGAAATAATAATGACGATAATTATTATCACTGCAAGAGATTCTTCAACTTACTATCCGAATTACTATTTTCAAGAACCTGACCTTTCGATTTAACAAATAAATCTGTCGTTCGAATCGGGCGATCGTTTCGGACGTGAACGAAACAGATCAAGATATCGAAGGAACCGACATACTCCGGCGGAATGCTAATGAATTCAGAAAGGAAGGACACGTAGAAACTCTCGAATGGAAGTTACCACGAGACAAGTCCTCCCCCCCCCCCTGCCGATATCATCGGAGTCAAGTGTCCACAAAAGGTACATTGTTTCTTAGAAAGAAGTCACCGCGCGCTCTCCCGAGATCACGGTTGGCCGATTACAGATTTCGATCCGATGAACATTGATCCACCCTGCCATCAATAAGCGTTCACTGATGAGGGGCCAGACGAGAAAAAAAAAATTTCTACGCGATTGAATTGATAATCTTCCGGTCGAATTGGTCGCGGACCTGGTCGGTGGTGCTCGGATTATTCCAAAGTTTCGACTTGCGACACGGCACAGCTCCAAGAATTATCATCTGAGAATATTGTTCTCCACCAGAGGCGAAGAAACAGCGTTCGAAGACGAAGATTTGGATGTTATTTCGTTCAGTTAAAGAAATTGCCAATTCAATTCAATACAATATACTTTTCATCATTTTAACGATGATTTGTAACAAAATGCATTTATAAAATACAGAATGCGGGAAAGCTACTTTGTTTCTTTATAGAGAATCAGGGAAAGGAAAATCATAGCTTTTTTTTTTATAAAGAGTGTCGAGGTGCAGGGATTAACAAATCATTCCATTTAAAGAAGTATATATAAGTATAATAATTATAATAATAATATGTGTAATATTCCATTAAAGTATATATAATTTTGAAATATTCAGAATTATATTACGAGCCTTCCTATACTGAATGACTTTCGTTCATAAAATTTTTTCGCGAAACGTTTTCAAAGGCAAAAGAGATATTTTGATCGTCAGAAACGACTAAAATTGAAAATTATATATCTTCTAACATAGATAAGGAAATACACATATTTCATATCTTAATTACTACACAGACAAATAAATTACGTTTTATTTACATGTGATGGATATCATGTCCCAAATTAAACTGTAAATATATATATACAGTTTAATAATAAAAATATAATAACTGTAAAATATATATATATGTATATATATACGTAAAATATATGTATAATATATATATTTCTAATACACATACTTCATATTTTAATTATTATACAGACGAATAAATTACGTTTCATTTACATGTGATGAATATCATATCCCAAACTAAACTGTAAATATATATACAGTTTAATAATAAAAATATAATAACTGTAAAATATATGTATAATATATACATATATATATTTCTAATACACATACTTCATATCTTAATTATTATACAGACGAATAAATTACGTTTCATTTATATGTGATGAATGTCATGTCCCAAATTAAACTGTAAATATATATACAGTTTAATAATAAAAATATAATAATTGTAAAATATATATATATACATATATATATATATATATATGTATATATATACGTAAAATATATGTATAATATATATATATTTCTAATACACATACTTCATATTTTAATTATTATACAGACGAATAAATTACGTTTCATTTACATGTGATGAATATCATATCCCAAATTAAACTGTAAATATATATATACAGTTTAATAATAAAAATATAATAACTGTAAAATATATATAATAACTGTAAATAAATATAATAACTGTAAAATATATATATGTATATATATACGTAAAATATATGTATAATATATATATTTCTAATACACATATTTTAATTATTATACAGACGAATAAATTACGTTTCATTTACATGTGATGAATATCATATCCTAAATTAAACTGTAAATATATATATATGTATATATATACACATAATTTAATAATAAAAATATAATAACTGTAAAATATATATTTCACATATATTTAGAATTACAAAATAGTATGTGTTTTAATACATTTACAATTTCCACCAATTCAAACCATACCGATAAAATTCCCAACACATCAAATCAAATCAAATCAAATCAAATCGAAGCCTCTAGCAATCTTAGCATCTACTTTATTCCTGTTCGTGTCTGACGTCTGACTCGAATGGCATCGGCGGTTATTAAATCAAGATAACCGGTTTCTTTTTTTACCGATGATTGAAGCGATACAACCGATCGGGAATAATAGAGATTGAGTTTGAGGGAATACGCGCGCTCGTGACAAAGGGAGGACGCGCGAGCGCGTTGCAACCGCGATGTTGGTTCAATCACGGGTTACAAGCGCGATCGGCCGGTCCTCCTCGTTCGGGTCTAGTGGCGTAATCTTCCTTCGGCCGACGTTCCACGTGAATCTACACGGTTCGTTTCGATCGAACAATGCGGCCCGATCCAACGAGATCCACCGTTGATTCAGTATCGATCGATCGATGCTCTGTCATCCTCACTGTGTCTGTCTCAACTTCGTCCCGTGTACACCAGTACACAGTGTATTATATCTTGCGATCGGACGCACGTCGGAAACAGGATTATTCAAGATCCACTTCCCTGTTGCACTTTAACGAACTCTGCTCGGTAGCCTTTCACCTCACGAGCTCGACAATCGAAAGAAAATTGTCGATCGTGAGTGAGCGGGACAGCTGGTTTTCGCCATTTATTGGAGAACTGTAACTTTTAATTAATTTAGTAGTTTAATTAGTATTGCACAAGACGCGAGAAAGTAAGTTTAAATTAAGTTGAATTTATAATAAAATAATTATTATTCGATTGGCATTCAATTTGTATTAAGGAGCAGCACTATCTTCTTCAGTTTAAACGCTCTATCGATTATTTTGAAATCGAGAAAGTCAAAAGTGTTTCTTTTCATTCAATTTGAAATATTTATTTACCTTTCGATAAAAATTCTGAGAACATTCTGAGAGATTCAAAGTTTGTACCATTAAAAGGTAGGTAAAGCTTTGCAAATTTTTCCCAAGAGTGAAGTTCCAATATATCATATGATCTATTATATAATATTGTTTGATATGCAGGTACATATATTGCACGATACATTATTTCAGATATATATATATATATTAGAAAAAATTTGCAAAGCTTTATCTATGTTTTAATGGTTCAAACTTTGAAATGGTACAACTTTGGTACTGTGTTATATTTTATATAATATAATATATAATATTATCTGACCTACATGTATATATACATATATTATGTATAATATATGATATGATATATTATTTTATACATATACTATAGAATACTATATTTTATATATGATATATAATATTATTTGACGTATATATATATACATATATTATATATGATACATGATATATATTATTTTATACATACTTTATTATTATACTATATTTTATTTATACTTTATACTATATTTTACTATTATTACTACATACTACTATTTTATACATACTTTATTATTTATACTATATTTTATATCATATGATATATAATATGATATATTCATACATGTACTATAATATACTATATTTCATGTCATATGATATATTATTTGACATAGATGTACATATGTTATACGACATATTACATTATTTGACATACACGTATACTATACGTACAACAAAATAAACTAACGTGATACATACATGTGGAACCTCTAATCCACTAATTACTTTTGAAAAGAACTGCACAGCTAAAGATAAAAAGGAAAGAGGAAGCAAAGAGATTCTGTAACAACCAAAGAAATCAAAATGCAAGAGTTCCTCTTGGCGACCTCAAAAGGCGGAAGTCGATGGTTTTAGGTTAAGTCCGTGGAAGAGACCTTCCGGCGAAAATCTCTCTCTCTCTCTCTCTCTCTCTCTCTCTCTCTCTCTTTCTCTCTGTACAGAGGCCTCTGCAGGTTGAATAATGAACCGTCTTCTCGGGTGCTTTACGCGGCCGACCGGTCCCGTTTCCGTAAATTATAACCATTAGCGGCACTTGCGTCTCGCGGCAATTTTCGTGAAATTAAACGCGCCGAATCAATTACTCGTTCGCTCCGCGGCGTGCAATCGAGGACGAACGATGGCCAGATGCTGCGGCGGCGGCGCGATGGGAAACGCCGCGGCGGCTGTCACCGTGCGGCCGCGCATCTGCGTTTGTCAAGGGTATCAGGTCGAACGGGCGCCGTCACGAAACACCGCCATAAAAATGTAATTTGCCCCGGACGATTTCGGCACGACACAATGCGCCGCTGCTCGTGCAGGTTTGCACGAACGATCCGTAAGAGGATAATTGGACGGAAAGGGTGAACTCGGGCAAACCGCGTCGGTAACCGGTTCCGCACGACTTCCGTTTACCTGATGACTTATCGATCGCTGCCATTGAAACTTCTTCCCCTGCATTAAAACACGGCGTCCACCATTCCCCGCCTGTCATTTCGATCCTTTCTCTCAAATTCAGCAATCACGATCGTAATTCTTATCGTTATACAAGATACAGGATATATATATTATATTATATTATATGTATAGTATAGTAGCTTATTATAATGTATACAAGATACAGGATATATATATATATTCCGTTCAGGATATATATATATATATATATATATATATATATATATATATATATATAATTCCATTCACGGGCAAGTAATCTCGTTTCCTTGTTTCATTTTCTATAAGCTACGTGTTTGCACGTAGCTCGGCGTGAGGTTTTAAATGGAAGTTACATTGTAACAGAAGACATCTATGGTGAACAATTTGATTTCATGATGAGGAGAGATAGGCGATGATTTGAAAGATCTACAGTCGTTGGAAATGTTTTAATTTTTGTTGCTGGAACGAGCGTGCGATTGGTATTTAAGTTTTCAGGAATTGGACAAACTTGATGAAGATGGTTTCTTTGGTTTCTGTGTAATTCACGTTTGACGACAGCGCTATATTTATAAAATACATTTAATCGTAAATATTAATTACTTTCTTTTGTCTTCTGCATTAGAAAGTTCAATGTACAGTGAACTGATGCGAACGAAATATATATAGGCTCGCGAAATCATTTGAAATAATAAATAGTCTCAGCAGAAGATGAAATTCATACAACTGAAATTGGAAATTATTTGAAAAATACAAAACGAATGTCATGAAATAACATTTTATTTGACACAATCAAACAATTAAATAATTTAGAGAAAAGTTTGCTTCACGACAACGTTCGTTTCTCAACACTATTTTGGTAACGACCGATTTATCATTTTTCTTAGAAATCTTACAGATGTAAAGCAATCTATTTTCAGAGATTTGAACGATTTCAAAATGTTTAAAACCGCAAAGTTCGGTTCTTTTTATTTGAATGTTTCTGTTGGAAATGTGCTTTGAAATCGTCGGTGATTCTAGCGTTCAACATTTTATTCAAATGATGGCCTACGTTTTCAAACGACGATTAAAGTGAACGTCGACAACGTCGCGGTGGGTCGAACGGTTCAGGGTAAGTTTCGTCAGCGCGCAGAGGCTTCTGACAGAAAATCCGTTCTGGGACGCGCGTGTGTTCGTTCTTAAAAGGCGCGTCTCGCTCCTTGACCCGCGTCCCAGCTCATCCGTCACGCTTGTCGGCTCGCGGAACGCGCGTATTCACGCTGCACGATACCGGCCCGGCTGCGTCTCGGGACAAATTTATAAATTTGATGTAAGGAAACGTACGAGACGAAGATAGAAAAAAGTTTCGAGTCGTTTAAGAACGATCTCTGATTATGGGACACAGATGACGACAGAAGTTTTACGTGTCATTCCGCGCGACGTATCGGACGATTGTCGTGTAATGTAATAATAACTTCTTAAGGTTAATGTATTCAGTTATTCGTGTCCGAAATAATTTGAGGAATGTGTCTGGAGAAGTGTGTTGAAAATGAGAAATACATATTTTTATATATTTATATCATAATTTGGAAATATTGTTCAATCTTCGACATACGATAATCTTATTTAAAATTAGGCTGAAGGTCTTCGTAGCCATTTTTGACCGTTCATGTTGAATAAATTATAATATCAGATAATAATAATATATCATTATTTTATTATTAATTTTGTTAATATTGTTTTGTTATTATTTATAACAAAGCAGAATTTTACTTTCAAATCTAATCGCTGAAATTTTCTTTATATTATTTCCTTGTTGTTATTTACAGATAATTTTATTATACAGAAAATTGTTTCCTTTAAGAATGTCGCGACATGAATTGCATAAACCAATTTATTTTCATAGCATGATATAAACTGTTCAAATAAATGAAGTGATAAATAATGCAATTAACGAAACGCTCCAATATTTAAATTTGCTTCGACTTTAATATCTTTATTATCTTAATTAATAATTTAAGTTCAATTACGTGATTAAATATTAAAGTGTATTTAACTATCAATTTTGTCCACTTTAACATAATAATTTTCTATCGAAGCGATATTATTATTTGCTGATAGAAAACTAAAGTTCGAAGTGAAATTTCTTACCAACAGCCAGATGTGAAATAAAAATAAAATTCATATTAAAAAACCATAAGAGATAGAAATAAAATTCATACAACGAAACCAAGGGATTGAACTGACTTTTCTTTGATAGAAAAGCGGTCTAGCACCATGAAACAGCTAGTTTAACAAACGTTTAACGAACTGAAGTGATAAAGTATATAGAGAGAAAAGAGACAGCTGCACAAGGCAAACGAAGAATACGAAACGATTCGTTTTCTTCGATAGATCTTGTTCCGATCGATTGCCTTCCAGCTTGGATACACGTCGAAAACCATCTGGCAAAACTGCAGCAATGACTAGGCCGTTTCTGCCCGAGTAATTTATGTCATTTATAGCGTTGTACCCGTGACAAGCGGATAATTACGGAACATTTGATTTTCATCGACACGATCGCGACCAAGGAAACGAACACGTTTGTTTAAATGGTAGTAAAGCTGCGCGGCAACGCTCGTGATCTTTCGATTTTTACGCGTAATATGTTGGCTTCCATTGATTTATGAATTTGAAAATTTGTCTCGGTGAAACAATGCAATTTTATTATAGAGAACGTGCACGATGAATGTAATTACATGGATTCTAGAGTTGAGACTTTTGTAATGAAAATTTCGAGAATAGTTGACGGTTTCTTTGAGTTACCATTGTCCAAGACACTAAAATTCATGAATTCTTCTCATAATTACGCGCATGTATATTAAATAAAAATATATATATAATAATAATTGGATTTTACTATATATATATATAATAAAAATTATAAAATTACATTAATATAATAATTATAATATAGTATAATTAATATAATTACAATAATTATAGTATAATTAATATAATTACAATAATTATTATTATAATAATTATAATATAATTATAGCTTCAAGTGGCCACACGTCGATTCAGTTTATACAAGTATATTATAAACTATACTATATAATATAATATAAACTATACTATATAATATAATATGATATAATATAATATAATATAAAATAAAGTAATATAATATAATATAATATAATATAAAATAATATAAAATATAATATAATATAATATAATATAATATAATATAATATAATATAATATAAAATAATATAAAATATAACACGCTTGTAATTCACAAATTATAAAACACAAATATAATTATAAAATTTCGTACCGTTGAAACAACTTGTAGAATTCGATTCAGCG